CGAGGTATAATATTTCCATCGCAGTTTAACAGTTACCATGGCGATTCTTCCAGTCACTACCGTTATTGTAGTGAGAAAAAATATTGTAAAGCTCTCAATAATGGCCAGAGACAGAATAAAGCAATATGGATGCTTAATTTTACAATGAAAGCCCAACGCGTAAACAATGTCACGCATGCGAGATTCCTTTTTTCATAGAAGGGGCGGGCCGAATGATATGCAGATTTATTTATTGCTCATGAATCCACAAACGACTGCATACACTTAGAATACTGTTACGTTGAAATAGACCACGCATTTCATAAAATTCGTAACTGTTGCACTTTAACAAGTTGGTTATCACGTCGCAGTTAAATTTATAGAAAGGACAACAGAACTCATGAAAGTTTATCTTTTTTTTATCATTAATTTCGTTGTATACAATTGTCTTAAAATAGCGACTGAAACAGAATCTTAACGGAGTAAAGACTATCACTGTTTTTCAAAAATTAGTTCAATCAGCATGAGGTCGTTATCTACAAAAACAACTGCTACAGCGACTGGCAAATTTCAGATCAGTTGTTTGGACGAAATTTTATCTGCACTTCTAGATAAACAGCTTTCTACAAAATCGCTTTACGAAGAAAATAACTAGAAAAGTCTAAAAAGTGATGTATTCGTACAACTTTCCGGACCATGGAACTTGCTAATCCAGGATTCAGAACACTCGTCCCGATTCTATTGGTTCCTGGAATGAAAGAGTTGAAAATTTTCCGTCCATGAAAAAAAAAAAGCTAATAAATAAGATATACAAAATGAGCAACGCTTAAAACAAGAAAAGCCCAACAGTAACAAAAATATTAAGGGAAAGGTTGCGGAAACAGACTGAGGGATTATTTATAAATAAAAGTATATAAGACAAAACGTCATTAGGTTAAAGTTGGTGTGATTTAAGAAGATGAGAATAACCTATCGTAAATTAAGAGAGTGGGAATAAGTTTGGCTAATATGGATAAATAAGCCTGAGTAAAAATGCATTCTTTATCCCTGTTCATCTTAGCGAAGCGTCTTCAGAATGCAGTACCGATCAAAGTACCTGGATTATGGAAAGTTCAGGTCATTACTTATCCTTTATCCTTAAAATTTTTTTGCCAAAAGATGTGCTAAAGTTGGAAACAAGAACAGAGACAAGAAAACTGGTTAGAAAATGGTTTAAGCTTTAAAAATCGATAGAATTCTGAACTGCACATTTTGGAACTTAATCAAAGACCAGCAAAAGAATCTGATCATAGTAACATGAAAAATTGTAGAAAACTTTAATATATATGATGATGATTTCAACCTAAAAGCATTTAGAAAGTTAGAAAGTTGAGGATAAGTTACTGAAAATCTACAGAACTAAAGTTATTGCCATACATCGTTTTGAGCATCTTGCAGACGCCAAGTATAGGTATCGCAAATCCAGTGAAATGAAAGAGCGACATGATTATAAACCACATGTATTTGTTATCGGTCACCGGTAGATACTGAAAAGACAACAAAAAAGTCAAATTTATAAAAACCAAAAATTTATACGTATATATAGTAAGTGGAGTAACAGGTTTAGTTTTCCAATTAACAAGATAATTTCAGTACACCTAAGATGACCGAAACGAAGAAGTGTAGAGCTTTCTCGAAGAAGCCATTATCTTAAGGAAAGGTCAGGTCATATAAGCATATTCAGTGCTATATATACACATATATATATATATATATTTTTTTTTTTAAGAGGAAGCAAGATTAGATGTAGATTTCCAAGTTATATGAGACATACAACCACGTGTCCTTGAATGAAAAAACGGCTCAGTAGAGACATAACGTATAAAAAATGCAAACATATAAATAAAGTTGAACTTACATAAAGTGACCACCCCGGGAACTTCGGATGTCTGGTTGTCTGTGGTCCCAACATCATTGGAAGCGGCCAATTCTTGCGACCTGGTGGCTTCAAACTATAGTGACGCACAGATGCTTGAACCAAATTTAGTACGTATCTATTCATAATGCCGCTACAGTAACAGTCTGCAAAGGGTAAACAAGCAATTAATACTCGAAGTCTCAATTGGATAAAAAAAATATAACCGTGTGTGGGTGATAAACTCCCCTATTCCTTCCCAAATAAAAAGTCAATATTAGCTTATCAGAAGTGTAGGGTAAGAGTTGTGATCTAGAAGATAATGACATTTGTTAACCAGTGAAAAACAAACAAACTACACTACAAAAGTTTAACCATCCAACAAGAATACTCCGTTTCTAGGGAACAGATCTGTGGTATGTAATAGAATAAATGACATCCACACGCAATAATCTTACTACAAGTAAATAAAACAACCCCTTAACTGGAAAGTGTGAGCCGTATCTCAACCGCTCCAACTAATAACTTCTCTACCTTTCAGCAACCACAACCACAGTTGCTCTCCAGAAATCTCAGACCATCAATGCAATGAAAAATGGACACAATGCAATGAATGGGTCCCGCGCCGAGAAAGGACAATTTAGGGAAATTGAATGTATTGTTGAACGGTACGGGAACATATCAATTAATAGCTAAGCTGCCAATCTACTCATTAACATACATTAAAGTGATCCTAATTAATGGAATGGCTACTGAGCTAAGTCTATGATGTTTCCCATTGCGTTAACACATTACTACCATTGTTCTCAAAATATGAATCAGTTAAAGCACATATATTCTCGTGGTCAAATTAAACTAATTACAAGCGTTGTAAAAGTGGATTAGCCAATAAGCCAAACCTTTTCTCAAAAATCTGTAAGCCGAAGTTTTATATATGCTTCCCCGATATATTTCAATACAGTTCTAATACAGTTACATTTGACACAAAAACACTGCAACCACGTGCTTCCGTAGGAACTATGGCCAGTTTATATCAACGTCCAGCGACCACTTCTACCCATAAGTTTTCTGTTATTCGATACTCCTTTCTACAGTACTGTTGTGTCTCCTTCACGACTAGACGATGATTAATCATAACTTGCATCCTCCTGCATACACCGCTATTTCCAGTCATGTAAGAGGGTAAGCAGAGCATCTCCCAGGTAGCTCCCTGGCGGACGAGATCTCTTCAGTGTTGTCTGTTACCCTATTGCGAGGTGGTCATTGTTTACATTTAGTATTATGAAGGGACTCGAAGCTGTCAGCAGTCAGCATCTCCTACAGGTAGGTATTCTCACTGTGTTTTATAAACCATGCAATACTGATACATTCAAGGTATGACGAACAACCAGAAATCATACTTCCTTTGAGAAGATTCTTTCTTTCACATTAGACTGATTGCCTGGAATTTTAGCTACGATGCAGTTTCCGGATGGTCCCACCATTAGGTTGGTACTCACTTTTAAAATTCCCAAACATCGTTGCTTACATACCACAAAACGTTTTGCAATTATCTTCCAAAATATGTGAAATATAAAATCATTTCAGGTTATGATTTTCATTTCGTGTGGCACTCAAAACTCCGAGACAGTTCATATGTAAAAGAAATTTTTGAATGCATGTCCATCAGTCTTCCAGACGATTCTTCCTCATCATCGTTATCATTTGCATGATCATTCCTCTACGGAAAGCAGATTTATGGACCGAAACAAAACGAATGAGCGACTTGCAACAGGTTTTCCGAGTTTCCAAGTTGAAAACGGCTGCCATATCTTTTTAACATCATTCTAAGACCAGAAGATGAATGAAGAGAAGCGCATTTCATTTTATAATTGAAAAACTTGAAAAACTCATATGTTTAATTTATCATCCAAACATTCTTCATTTATATTTTCCGTTTTACAGTGGCGTACTTTATGCGCTCGATATACAGTTGCACTAGCTTATATGAAAGACTCAAATGCGCGCATCACAGTTTTTGCCCCAATTAATGACGTCTTTATCTACAATCCAGATATCCGTGCTTTTAGTCAAAAAGAAGTCCTGAGTCATATAGGTTAGTTTGGCAGTAAAAATGGAATTTGTTTAAATTAATATCGTTTCCTCCGTTTTTCTAATTTGAATTTAATTAAACTTAAAGTTTTTTAAAAATTAAACTTAAAAAACTTAAAATTTAATTAAACC